CGGCAGTACTAATCTTGACCGGCAGATGGCCCATGCATCACGAGTTGCGGTGGATTACAGAGTGGTTGTATCGCAGCGTCATATGGCGTACGGGAGGAGACCAATCTTGTCAAAAACCAAGCCCTGGAGGATGCAGGCTGCCTCAGAGACCGTCATGGCGCGTTCACATGGCATGGATATGCGCGTCGTGCTGCCATGAATGGGCCTAGCACCCGCTGAACTGAATTGTTAATAGTAATTCATGCAACGTCTCCCCTATAGCTGAGGTGGCTCATTCATGCTCTGGTACATAACCACGAGTCCCTGACGAATACGATAATTCATGATCGCATTGGGACACCCATGTGCGTGTGCGACACCCAATTCGGTCGCGACTTGTATGACACAGACCTTCGGCTGGAGTGTGCAAGAATCGTCTGTGTCATTCCTACGTGTGCTAAGACGTGGAGAGAACCCATTCCTCAGCTTGGAGACCTTCTGGAAGGATTGTCAGAAGGAGGGATTTGGCGACCTCGCTCGGATCAGCTGTTGCCCTTGGGCGATGATTGCAAGCACGCCCCTTTTGATGGAACAATTGTGAGGATGGTGACATCCCTGCATCCTTTTGCTTCACCTTCTTCCAGTGTACTTCTGGAAGCCTTCCCCGCGAGGTTAGTCTCATTTCCGACCTTTATGCATGGGCCACGCAGCTGTTTGTTGGAGGCCACCCTCACCGGGGAAGAGAGAGGTGGCGTAACGGACATCCACCCCTTCCCCCCTAGATTGTGCTGTCACAGACGTTGGCGGCTGATCTCTCTGTGACGAATGCCGGATTCTTTCGTGACAGTGTGCTACCTATACCAAGGGACGAGAGCGCATTTATGGTCACGTAATTGCAGCCAAGGCTGTGCTGACCCTCTCATTACCCTACTGCCTTGAGACTTCAAGTGACTTGCGGAAAGCGCCTTGGGCAGCTGGTACAGAGCGGGCAGCATAAACTCGGTTGGCGAACGTGCGCGGCGTGCGGAGTATAGGATAAAATGGGTCAGGCCGTCGAAAACCATAGAAGCTTGGCCTGTTACGGGCCTGGGATAGTGGTGGGAGGGTTAGCAGCCTCAGTGGCCCAAGTATCGTCTTCCAGAAGCCCCGTTCCTTCCACGACCACCCCTGGCATGCTGCAGGTGCCATGCAGAGTGCACGGTGAGGGAGTACCACAACATGCGGAGTCTGTCGCCTGCTTGATGTGGTCGGTGGCAGTAATCAACATCGATCGGTACACGCACCGGCAATAGAGTGACGGAAAGGGAAGACTAGTGACGGAGCATTGCGTGCCTTGTTTCGACAGGCTCAGCAAGCTTTTGATGCACGGCGAGGGAGCAGCCCGAATTCAGTTTATCCGAGCACACAGACGTCTATAGACAGTGTGCTGAAAGGGAGCGGGCCCAGCAGCTCAAACATGACAGCCGTGTCCCGATAATGAATTGGAAGTATCGAGAATAAACAGTGGCTCGGATTGTTCTCGATCGAGAAAGGGAGTCGAAACAACGCAAGGTCGTTCTTCCGACAGTATCTTTGCGGAAGGCCAGCTTCCAGTATCGCGCCGTCCGAGAACACAGCAGGAAAGCACTCGTGCTTGTTGAGCGTGATCGTGATCTGAAGACGTCGAATTTATGCTAGATCTACCTCGGCGCCGTCGGTATTTAGAGGCTCGTTCATTTTGCCGGATCGCTGGGCACAGGCTCAGAATGGACGTAGTGGGTGGCCTTGTCGTTCAGCCCTCGAACAGTGCTGCTCAGCAGATCTTAGATCTCCCAAGACCCAGAATCCAGAGCCCCATGACCAGTGACCGACGGGGTGGGAAATGAGCATGACGTGAATGAGGAGGGCTGTCATCACGGCCAAAGCCGGTCCATCTTGAATTAGGCAAGGTGGGTCGTGGTCAAGCTAATTGATGTCTCAGCCTGCAACTTGGTCAGTGTCCACAGAGTGGGGATGGAGGAAATAGCCCGATGTTGGACGAGACTGTAGAAAGGCAGTAATGGTTCAGAGGACAGTGTGTCTTGCGATTGATGGAGAACTCGGTCAGAAACACGTAAACAAACATGGCTGACGACGCTCTAGAGTATCGTGATGCGCTTTCCAATGCAACAGCAGAATAGAAACAATACTTATGCTCCTCTGCCGGCAAGCAAGGGAAGAAAATACATTCTGGGCGGACAGTGGAGAGGGAAAAGGAGAAGTGGCCAGGATCTGGCGTCCTTGCATTGACCGTGCCTGCCCATGTGCACATCCCTTCTGGAAAATGAATGGAAGGCGCTCCGGGGGGGGGGGGGGGGGGAACCCCTGCCCCCCGCTGACTCCCACTCTGGAATTCAGTCCCCAGAAAGGAAAACCAGGGGTAACCATGACCGTGATACGTACCTGCCAACTGGCGATCGTCAAGTGGAGACAGAGCTGGAGCCAGAGAGAGCCTTGAGACCAGTCCACTCTCGAGCAAAGTAAGTCTCTACACAGGTAATTGGTACATGCTGGCGTCAGGGCACTGTGTGGCACGGTGCACATCTATCCGTGGTCCGTCGCCCCCTTGACGCCTGAACGTGCCTAAAACAGACTCCCGCTACAGACCCGAGGGCGGCAGGGCAGCTACCTGGCTGGGTACGTACCGGGCCCCTGGTCTTGCCGCCTCGAACGGAGCACGTTCGCTCGTTTCAACTCAACCTTCCAACCAAACTGCCGCACTTCACTGGACGAGTTCACACCAGCCGCGGAAAAAGTTGCAAGGAAGGTACCTGAATTCAAATCATCGAGCCCAGCTCTGCCTCATCTCTCGTGGGCTGCAGTGTGTCGTGTGCCTGAATTGGATCGGCCACTGCACCTGGCACCTGGCACGAAGTCTGGTCGATGTTCTGGCAGATCGTTATATACCAAAGCGCCTCCCGCCCACTACCTAGCCGCAGGGTCCTCAAGCTGCCTTGTCTCCCTCTCTCCATCCGTCCACCGATCCATCCATCACCCACAACGTCAACCGCCTGTCGACCTTGCCTTCAGTTGAATCTGGCTTCTCATCAACATCACGCCCCTCCTCACAAATTCAATCGATTTTTTTCTTTGCTGGCGTCTGTGCCACTCCCACTCAGTTCACGACACACCAGCCAGCATTCGGTACATATTTTGCCTGTCACCGCCGCGCATTTCTTTTGTGAACGAAGCAAGAAACGATTCCCATTAGGTCTTTCCACTCCACTTCAGCTTGTAAGTAGAATCTTTTTGGCTCTCTCCGATTCGTGTCACCAGCCCTCCTTCGTACACACACTTGTCTGTATTCTTTTCTTCTTGGCCACATCCTGTAGCAAAGGAGACGTCCTTGCATTCTGGCCTTCACAGCCAAACATCCGTTCAAGCGATGATCGAGAGCACAACAAAGGAGACGAAGCCGTCCTGGCTGCCCCCTTATTAGTCGCGTCTCGCGTGTCACTTCCGCCTCACCCCATGAGTGTGGTCCGTGCCCGCGACTGGACTTTTTTTCGGGGTTCATTCATTTTTGGGTGCAGATCCACACTTCGTGTCTGCCTGCCCATCTGCACCCCCGTGACAGAAAGTTTCCTGAGCTGGCCCCCCCCCCCTTGAAAGCCCCAGCCAGCGTCCCCCCTTGCCCACCCCCCAGTCCCCTTGCCTTCCCTTACCTCACCTTGCCGAAGCAAACCTCGCCCACCCTCACTTACCTACCACCTTTTTCTGGACGCGTATCGCACCAGACCTCGCCCAAACACAACACTTGTCTCGACCAAGGCATCGACTCGTTCACGTCTCGGTCGCAGACTATCTTCCTTCAAATCCCCTCATTCTCAAGCACCTTGTTTCTTTGTTCTCAGCTGCTTGGTTCTACTCTTTTCGCCGGCTGACCTTCCTCCCAGGGGATCCCACAAGGTCTTCAACCAACTCTTCCTGCCTGCATCCCTCCCCTTTTTTCTTTCACCGACCTAGTCCCGCCTCGAATCCATCCAGATCGAGCATCATCACCCCGCGCGAGCATTCACTTGCCTGCATCGCAACGGCCCGAGATCAAACTTCGATCAGTACGCGCCCTTTCACGAGTTCTCGACACCTGAAGTGGGCAGTGCTGGCATTCGGTCCCGATTCGACCAACCTGTCGCAATAGTCGTACAGTGGACCCGCCTCTTGCGATACGAATAACTTCGCGTCCAACTCCCGAGCCCGATAATCCCACCGACGCTCTTACGGTCTTCACAGAGACGACGGCGGTCTCGACTCGTTCTCTGTTCAGCCTGTAGCACAGGTGATTCCAGGTTGATACCTCTACGCGGCCTAAACGAGCCTCGTTATTCGACAAATCGGATCAAGCATATCAGCTGATCATTTCGACTACTCATGTAAGGCTTTATGTTCCTAGCATCCCCTTTTATCTAGTTGCCCGTTGACGCGGCAAATGATCGGCCACTTGACGTGCTGGCACACGCTTCCGATCCAACACTTTAACCTCTCTCCCTTTGCCGTGCTTCAACTGCTAACAGTGTATTGCGTCAGCAACCATTCTCAAAGCCACTCGTCACTTCTGCATATTGGCTTCTGATTCCTACCGGGCAAGTGATTCGTGCAAGAGGAACGCCTCGCCATAAACCAACCCGATCACCACGCGCAAAGTAATGGAGATTGGCAATCTTATGGACAGAAGAAACACAATGGCCCATGCAACATTCTCATCACCACCCTACTGGGTCCACGCCCGAACGCCAGATGCATCAGCTCCCTCAGTTGACCGCTAGAAACCTTCCTGAGCCACCAATGGACCGTTCTGGCTCGCCCCACGGCTCCGAGCACTCCCGCTACTCGGCCCCTCGATCGCACATGGACAGCGTGCCCCGGTCATATCCCTCTCCAGTGCCTATGAACGGCCCGCCGATGATGCAAGCACATGCCCCTCCTCAACACCAGCACCAGCACCAACACCAACATCACGCTGGAGTGCCCATCACCATGATACTGCCCGGCGACCCCCTGACATGAACGCTGGGATCCATCATTACAAGCCTCCCGGTGTGCCTGTAGAGCCGCAGCCAGCCCAGCAGGTCAAGGCCTACCCGTGTGGCACGTGCGGCAAGCGGTTCGCGCGTCGTAGCGATCTTGCTCGTCACGGTATGTAGCTGATCTGCGCATCGTAGACACGTATTACATGCTGACCTGTCTAGAACGCATCCACAGCGGTATTCGCCCCCATGTCTGTGATTACCCCAACTGCGGCAAGCAGTTCATTCAGCGCTCCGCCCTCACGGTCCATCAGCGTGTGCACACTGGTGAGAAGCCACACATGTGCGAGCGTTGTGGAAAGGTACGATGCTTCTCCGTACTCTCCCTTTTCGGGCTTTTTAAACTGACCATTCACAGCCCTTCAGCGACAGCAGCTCTCTCGCCCGTCACCGCCGCATTCACTCGGGCAAGCGTCCTTACAAGTGCCCTTATGCCGATTGTCAGAAGACTTTCACGCGCCGCACGACCTTGACCCGCCACCAGAACCACCACACTGGTACCGTTGAAGAAGCTGCTGCCGCTACTGCCGCCGCGCTTGCTGCCCGCGCCAGCGTGAAACCGGGATCAACCCGCTCTGACGGCGACTCCATGTCCAACCGCGGTTCTCCTATGACCACTCCCTCGCCGGCTCAACGTACGCTCTCCATGTCGCCTAGCGCCGACCAGATGCAACGCAGCAATGCCGAATTTGGCTACATGGGCAACACATCACTGCCGGTACACCTTCAGCGCGACATGCATGTCGGCAGCCCTGCGTCCACTACTTCTGCAGGTTACAGCAACGGTGTGCGGCCCACCTCGCACCCTACCGGCTACGGCATGGTGCCGCCTCCCACACTGGAACCCAATGTCGAGCAGCACTCGGGCCCTGGAAGCGCCGGCGGCAGCCCCCACATGAGCACCATGGGATGGCAGTCGCCTTCGCACGTCGCTTCGCCGTCGCATAGCAACAATGGCAGCGCCTACATGTACCCCGAGCCTGAACATTACCCCGCGGGCCCAACCCTTGGCAACCAGATGTTCTTCGGACAGGTTCGCCGTCCCCAGAGCACCGAGCCCCCTGCTGCGGCGTACTAGAGTAACGCTGCTGGAGATGAAGGGTACGAGCCCGAGTGTGGGGAGTACCCAGACCTGCCGCAGTAGGCAATAAGAGACTGCGGCTGCACAACGCAACATTTCGTCTCGTCTTTTTCCCCATTGGACACTGATACCCACGGCTATCGTCGTCTTTCCTTTGCATCTCTTTTGATTCCTTTTAAAAATCCTCCTGGCACCACTGCTTTTGGCCGCATTGGCTAGACAGGCGAGGCTGGGACGGCTCGGTAAATACAATAGCATCCTTCTAATACTACGGCCGGGGAGCAGCGGCACACCACTGTTTTGGTTTCTCGGAAGGCGGGAAACGACACCACAGTCGCGATGAGGGATGGCAAAGCGCACGCGCATGCCTGCCTCAGATGTCTACGGCTCTCACATTTCCTTTGTCGATCGCGTTTGCTTTTATTATAGACGGCGGGGAAGGCTCGGGAACCTGATGATCACTGGTCTTCTGTACGGCCCGCGGCACACGGGAAGATGGCTTTGGAGTTCCGCGTGAGCAAACAAAAAAGAAAGTCGGAGCCACAGCACTCGCACTGAGGGCCGCCAGTCTATCGCCTCGGACTAATTCACAGTCTTGAAGGTTTGGACGGACCTGAAAGGCAGGCAGGCAGGCAGACAGATAGGCAGGCAGGGCCAGTCAGGACAGACCAGAAACGGGAACAAAGGGAACAAACGGTCTGTGCAGACAGCCAGTTCATGTATGCAAGTTGTATTGTAGGAATCACTTTAGACAAGAAACAAATCTCTTCACTTGCGAAATCAGGGTGCTCTCAGTCAGCGTGGCAGTGGCATATGTCGTATGGGATGGCAAGATTGACGATGGTCGCGTCCGGAGACAAGGGTGCGCTCATCGTGAGTAGCGGAGCCGGCGTGAAACTCTTCCCACTCAGTCTCGCCTGCATTACATTGCGAACGATAGATGCAACACAGGGGCACTAGTGCAATCGGCCGAATCGACAGCAAACCATAGGATCTCCGATGCTTCACGACGACGGAGTGTGCGAGAATCAAAGCTCGCAGGTGGACCACCGATCTATGTACCAACCCAGGTAAGGTGGGCAGCTCGTCTTCTGCCGCCTAGCGGTCTCTGAGAGGGGGAGAGAAAAAAATGAGCAATGGGACAAATAACAATGGCCCACCCACCTGACAGGACTGGCTTCTAACTGACTCTCTCCTTCTGTGATTCTCATGACAAATGCTGCATCGCGCTAGAGGAACGTGCGTGTCCATTTCGCCCTTGTCATTGCTAATGTGTGCTGGGAAGGTAGGTGTCAACAGGTGAACAGGCCGCTTAGGGGCAAAGGGAGAGGGGGGAAGCAGAAAAGAGTGGGAGGGAACAAGGGCGCCCACACAGCTGGGGCCTCGAGCTCGTGGGATGATCTCCCGCTCTTCACTGCTGGGTCCGGGCTGACGCCTAGCGGGCACGCAGATCGACTTGCATCCATGTGTGGGAGTGGGATGCCGATGTTTGTGGCTCCATCGCTCGTACCTGTGGCTATTGTGAGTGGTGTTGTTCTTGCTGGCTGGCTTGAGCTTTGCCCTGCGGCTGGTACTACCGACAGGGTTCGCCCGTCTTTCTGAGCGGGACTGGATCATGTAAACAAAAAAACAGAACAGGAGAAAAACACTGAGAACAAGACGGGAAGAACCGATGGGGCATGGAGAGAGGGCTGACGGCCAGAGCAGGTTCGGATTATGTGATTTGTGATCGATCCGTCGTGGCTTCAAGGGAAAGGGGGGGACGGCTGGCCACGTTGGCGGGCTTGGCTTGGCTTTCGCTTCGCTTTCTTGGGTCCAAGTGCTCGGTTCAACGCCCTAGAATTTTCGGGACGCTTTTTGGGAGCTGGAGGGCTGAGGGAGGGCTGAATGGCGACCAACAAGACCAACTGTATGCGGGATGACGACCTTTCTGGTCTTCATATTTCTTTCTGTCTCTCCTTGCTTGCGTTCCCTGACTCTGTCTGGAACTGTCATCTGTTGCATCACGGGATGCGGTGGGCGAGTTCCGCGGAACCAGGGTATCAAGGGGAGGATACGCAGCAGTGCAGGGTTTATTTGGGACACAGCGATGCAGTAGGGTGGCATGTCGGTCAGGAAACGATGCAGCTTACACGTCTTTACTGGACCGTCGACGTCCAGTGAGCGAGGAAAACAGGTCAGGCCCTAGTCGTCCGTGTCTCTGGCCAGCAAATCTAGATCGCGGCCGATGGAGTTGTGGTGATTTCCCGGGGTTCACGTCGGAGGTCAGCGTGAACTCGTATGCTTTATGGTTTGCAGGGCATGGTGCATGTGCGTGGCAGGCAGGGGTAGGGCCGCAGTGCAGGGCCTGGGGTCGCACATCGCCCAACCCAGATGCCTTGTGTCCCTCACGGACGTACTGACGCTCACCCGCCAGCCAGCCTCGCCGTGAGATGCCTGTCTGGCGTGGGAGCAGCTGCGTGGGGAGGCGCCCAGGACGCCGGGACAAGGTGGTCTTCGAGAGGGGAGTTTGACTCGACAGAATTGACACGAGGAGGCCTGGACGCCTCCATGGCCTCGGGGGTGTGGGTGTTTGTCTCCCTCCATTGTTTTTTTTTCCCTCGTTTTGGCCCCTGGTTTGCTTTTTCCGAAGGGGGGTGGACAGGGTGGATGGAAAGGTGGATGGGCGCGTGGCCGCCACGCTGGAGCGGCTGGGACTGTGCATCGTACGTTTTTTCTTGCTCGCATGTTTTTGATTTACCGTTCGGACGGGCCCCTGCGATCGGGACTACGTACCAATCGATCTGGAATCCCGACTTTCTTCGGCGCGGCGCGCGGGGGCGCCGGTCTGCTGGGACCAGCTAGTCCAATTCTGATGCTTTTCTGATACCTGATTGCTCTGTCTGGCAACCCTTCCACGAGGATGCGTCGTGGTGGTGTGAGATGGTATCAAGGGTCTGGGATTCGCATATCCGCCTTGTCCCCTGCTCGGGCTCATCCCTCGTCGCTCGTCGCTTCTCGTGCCTGCCTTCGGTCATCTGTTCTTGCCCGACCTTTCCTCCTGCAGGCTCCGCGAAACAGTTCGGGCAAGAAGGAGAGCAACAGCTCGCTCGAGCTACCCTGGCCGCGGCAGGGCCACTTGGACACCTGGACACTTGGACCCTGTTTCCTCCATGCGCGGATTCACCTGCCTTGCCCTCTTCCACCTCGTCACCTTGAGGTACCTTACCTAGGTGCCTTAAGGTACCTCACGGGCAAGGCAACTAAGCCCAGATGAGATGGGACGCCGCGCCCCTCCTGTCCGTTGACCCTCAATTGCCGGTTGATTAGTAGAAGCTCGGCTTCCCGTCTTATATCTGGGCCGTGTCTGCCTTCCCTCGACGATGCAATGCGATGCACATGGCACACGGCACATAGCATGGTCCCTCTGCGTTGTGTTCTAGATCGCCCTGCCCTTAGCTCTGGTGGGCTTGATTACTTTCATCGCCTTGCTCGTTCAGCGTCTTTATTTACCAATACTCGATCTACCTAGTTTCTTGCATAGGTGCCTGGCATCACCATGGTCACGATCCACATCGAAGTCGTTTCCGACACCCTTTGTCCCTGGTGCTACATCGCCAAAGCCAATCTCGACCGCGCCATCGCCCTGCACCGCGAGCGCGACCCTGATACTGTCTTCCACGTGGTGTGGAAGCCCTTCTACCTGTACCCCAACTTGCCTCCAACTAGTATGGCCCCTCTTCCGCTGTTCTGATCCTTCACGTCGGGCCTGTCTCTGCCATGTCCCCTCCGACCTCGCCAAGGAAGCACGAGCCATTCTCATTGACACACACACCAGACCAACCCCGAGCGCCCCTTTACCCCTTTGCGCCAGATATTCAGTCCCGCCTCACGACCGCCGCCCAGGAGGCCCGCCTGACGCTGTCCCCCGCGTCCTTCACGGCTGGCAGAGCAGGGAACTCCCGCCCAGCCCACCAGCTCCTACGCCACCTCGCTCGCTCCCAGTCGTCGTCGCCAGCATCAACCCCGTCTCCGAGAGCCACAAGCTCCTCAGCACCCTTCCCGTCAGTCCCCGGCCACGGTTACGCGCAGCCCCGCGGCGCCATGCCTGCCTATTCCACACCACAGTCCCGCTTTCTCGACGCTCTCTTCCATGCCCACTTTGCTCGATGTCTCGACGTCTCCAACCGAGAGGTTCTCCTCGAGCTCGCGGTCAAGGCGGGTCTGGGGCGCGCCGAGGCACATGACGTACTCGAGAGTGAGGAGAGCCGTCGGGGGACGGACGAAGAGGCAGCGCGCGCGAGGGGGGAGAGGGGCGTCGAGGGAGTCCCGACCATGACCATACAGGGTCAATGGAGGGTCGGCGGCATGCAGGGCGTTGAATTGCTGCTTGGCGTTTTCGAGAAGGCAGCGAGGGGAGTCGCAGCTGGAGGAGCGGGCGGTAGCGGCGGCAGAAGTCACTACGAAGGGGCAACGAGGCAGGGGAGTCGAGGGAGTGACATGTGGCTGAGTAGCATACTAGACGCATGAAGGCTTTCTTAGGTTTGGGTGGTAATAGTTCTTGTGTGAAGATGGGAGGCGATGGATATATGGTTTGATCAAAGCGTGCAGCGTCATTTGTAACATCATGAGGGACAGAGACTTAGGTAGGGGAAAGGGGGGGGGGTGGGGCTGTGGGAACACATACGATGCTTTGTCTTTTTATCATTGATACCTGCCACACCTGCTAGGTTGCACCGTCTACACATACTTATACACAGGCTTTTCTCTTTGCCTTTTGACCCTTTTCCCATGTGAAGAAATACCGACCCAACGCCGAAATCAGCAAACGCCTGTCTGCCGTGTAGCTCATCCCACAACCCGGGCATGCCATGGTGGCCCTGCAAGGCCCGGCAGGCGCGCCAGCTCATTTCTTGCCGCCGCTGAAATCCTTGAGCAGATGCTGCATGTGCACATTGGTCGTCATGGCCGACCGCCGGTTCGCCCTCTTCTTGATCTTCTTCGTGTCGATCTTTTTGACGAGGTTCGGGTCGGCGCTCGCCGGCTTCTGCCCGGCCGCGACGAGCTTCTTAACAATATCGTCGTTGCTCGGCACGACGACGCGCTTCCACATGTTTTTGAAATCGTCTTCGACCGTGTGGCGCAGCGTCGGGTCGTCGATGAAGATGTGCTTGATCGTCTTCTTGTCCTCGACGGTGATGATCTTGTTCTCGCGCTTGAGCTCGGCGAGCGCGGCGTCGCACTGCGGCCACCCCTCCTTGAGCTCCTTGTACAGCAGCGGCTCCATGCTGCTCTTCGCCTGCAGGTGGCCCAGCAGGCCGATCTTGTCCTTGATGCCGCCGAGCTTGCCGAGGTAGAAGTACGTGCCCGAGTCCCACTTCTGCTCCGTCAGCGACGGGTCGGCCTTGAACTGGACGACCGTCTGGTGCCGCAGCACGTCGATGATGCGCTGGCACTTGGACAAGCTGGGGTTGCGCAGGTGGCCCTCCTTTTCGAGATTGTCGATGATGTCCTGCGCCTTTTTCGGCTCCGTCTGCGCGCGCAGGTACTCGTGGATGTACGTCATGAGCAGGATGATCGTGTTGATGTTGTCGTCGCCGTCCACGGGGATCTTGCGCTTCGGCTCTTTCTTGACCGGCGCCGGCGTCGGCGTGAAGGCAGACGTCTTGACGCTCAGCTTGCCCGACGCCGAGGCGAGGGAGCTGCTGAAGCCGGCCTTTTGCTTCTCGAGGTACGACATGATCGTGGTTGTGTAGTGGTGATGAGGGAAGGGCCCGTGATGAGGATTTGTCCGGTAACAGAGGTCCTTCTTCGGGCGTGCAGAGATGATGCACCCACGGTGATGCGAAGGATACCGCCCTCGCCAGACGATTGGTGGAACGGTTTGACCAAAGCCCAAACTAGGTCGACAGTCCCCAAGACTCGGATGTCGTCCTGACCGGCACCTCAAGCTGCCAGAGAGCTTCCTCAATGCGCCTTCACTAACGCGCTATCGTTGGCGACGCTGGAGCTTGGCTAGACAGCAGCCTCAGGTGATTCGGGCTCGATCGTCTGCTTGCGGGCTCGAGTGGTCGCCGCGTCGTCCTGAATGCGCCGGGTCGCGGGCGCCGAAGGGTCAGGCTGCTCGACGATGGGCTGGCGAAGTACCCTAAGATCGGAGTGCTGGCTGAGCTTCCCAAGAGCGTTCTGAAGGAAGATGGATCTCTTCCTGCGAGCGCTGACCGAATCGTGTGCGCTGACAGAGTCGCCTGCGCGGAGTGAGGCGCTTGTCGAGGCCGGAGCTAGGATAGAAGCTTCTTTATCGTCGGTGCGCCTGCGAATAGCTTTCTTCCGGTTGGCAGTGTCAGTGTCGAGGACGATCTGTTGTTTGGCGATCCTTTGAGCAACCTGTAAAGTCCTATCGTGCCAGGACTGGCCGCGGTGATGGTTGTAGACTGTTCTTTCGGAACGGTCCGAGATGGCTGTGCTGCTGGATTGGACATGCAGGTCGTCACTGGACCTAGACATGGTGCTCCGAAAGCCAAAGATCCGGGCAGGGATCTGTGTGCTTAGTAAGCACCTTCTGGCGCTAGGTACCTGTGCAAATGGTGCAATGAGGGACGTGCACAGGGGAGTGGGTATCCGCTGCTCTGGCTGGGTTCTACTGATAGAAGCCGTTACTTCAAGGTAATACTGGCCGAGGCGATGGTTTCCGCTGGTCTTTTGGTTCAAATCAGGTGACTGTCGAAGTTCCGCTACTTGTTAGATCTACGAGGCGGTCGTCTTATTCTTTTGTCGTCCTGTACTCTACAATTCGTGTATGGTTCACACAGTGAAATGTTGACAATAGGAAGCCCTGTTTGACATCAACCTTGGTCGACAGTCGAGACGAATAAGCAGATAATACCAACCGAAAGAGAGGACATGCATGGCCTTTGATGAACTGCCCATCCACAAGTCGCCTCACTCATTCTTATTGAGGCTGGTCAGTGAATCTAAACATCATCTATCAATTAATATCGCGGACAGTGCCAGTGGTCCATAGTCAAAGCTGTTGAAACGCGCAGTCCCCGCCGTGACCTTACAGTTGAACGCACTTGCAGCACGGGGCTTGATGAGCCCAGGCTAATGAGAAGCGAGTATATGCGATGGACAGTCACAGTTCTTCAACGGGCATATGCTCGTAGCAAGAACGGCGGAATCTTGGCAGCAGCCTCGACGAACAGTCCGCAATCATCAATCCATCGAGTAACATGTTTATATTAAAAAATTTCTATCTCGCTGATGAGCGTCCCATGAAGCCGAACCGACCCCCCTCGGTGGCTTCAAAAATAGGAAACGCCTAAATCACAGCCTCCCTATCCGTCGCGGCATGCGTGGCGGCAGCGACCTTCTGCGCTCTCTCAACAGCAGAACGCAAGCCTGGGCCCGACATTGAAGAGGATGCACATTTGGCTCCGCCTCCGCCGGGCCAGCACCGTCGCGAGTCCGTCTGTGTGTGTATAATTGTGTGAAGACATGAATCGTACAGAAGCCGCCCGTCATTTAAGCCGAGGGCTGCTGCTGCTGCTGCTGCTGCAGGTACTGGTACGCGCCGTAGGCGACGGCGCCGCCGACGAGGAGGACGGCGTACAGGCCGATGCCGATGCCAGAGGTGTCGGCGTTGTTGCTGGAGCTGGAGGTGCTGGCGGCGGGCTTGTTGGGGGCAGGGTCGCCGGCCTGTCGTGG